ATTGGCTAGGTCTCCACTGACAAAGCAGAGGAAATAATGATAGTGGTTATCTGAGTACGTTTTGCAGAACTCCAATATCTGAATAACTCTCTGTGACTCTAGAAATCACCTAATGACTTGCTAAAGCTTTGCCATTGGAGGCCTGCATCAATGTTACTTCTGCTACAGTTGTTTTAACCCTTTAATAATGATCTACTCTGAAAACGCAATCCCTGCAGTTGAGATAGAATTATATCTGCACATTTACACTTCAAAAGATAACCTGTACAAAAAAAGCTAATTCTCAATGAAATTTAAAAATGTTCTCAACTGCTTTCCTCAAACATCAAGCTGGTCCTGTCAAGTCCTTTCTTCTTCATCCCTCTTTTGCCCCCGTATAAATCCTTTCTATAAATCCCTTTTTATATCATTCTTTGCAGGCAGTGGTTGACACCCATCTTCAAAACATTTTTAATACTCACCAATTAGGATCAGATTACAGCATATATACATTAGTTGTATTGCCACTTAGCTTGTTTCAGATCATGTCTGTGATTGTGAATGGCTGCATTATTCTTCAAGGCAAATGAAATGAAAGAAAGAACAAAGATTGACTATCATATGAGTGATGAAAGGGAAACTAAGACATAGATATAGGGAGGGATCAGAAAACAACTTAGAAGGCATTAAGAAAGGAGTACCTACAAGGGTTCTTCAGGCTTATGTGGCATTATCTGGTATGTCTTTCTAGTTTTTCGTAGAGAAATTTGTATTCCTGGGGTGTCAAAAGTTTACTGAACTAGAGGGACATAAGTATGAAGGCCTAGATGACTGGATACCATTATATAGAGGAAACCTACATTTCAGTAGTTTAGATTGCAAGTCATTAGCCAAAAACAAGTGCATGTAGAATTTGGAGGAATATATGTATAATCTTGGCTGTGTAAACAAATATCTATATCTATATCAGATATATGCTATCACGATTATATGCTATATTCCCAACTTCTGATAGAAAAGTACTGAAAAAGGAGCTGTGAACATTTCATTTTTAAAGCTTGTCAAAATGGTGCTATCGACTCCTTAAATACAAAGATATATTGAATTTCTTTATTTTCTTTCTTCTAGGTAAACATGTAAGTCTAACCTGGCCATAAATGTAAATACAGAAAACATTTGTATAGAGCTCATCAAAATCATGTCCATTAGCTTTTGATAGAGCTACCATATTCTTCAATGGTGGGGACTTGCAGGGGGTCCTGGGTTCTCACAGAGAGGACACAGCACACTCATTGGCTCTCTCAGCTGCCCAAAGCTGGGACAGGCAACATGAGAGCCACACACAACTGTAGTTTCTTCTTGGACTTAAGTTGAATAACCTGGTTAAATGACTAAATAGGCTCATTTTTGGGTGTTTCCCAGAAACATAAAGGAATAATATGCAACATGAGGCAAAATGGACATTGGCAAACTGTTGAAACTAACCTTATCCAGGGCCTGTGTTACTTTGCGTAAGTCACCTAGATGTGTCAAAAAACATGCCAAAAGAAGCATATTATCTTGCTGCTGGGAAATCTGTAAAGCAATCTGCATGTACAGTATGATAATAAATCGTCTAGGAGCCCACCAAAACTGCATTCTGTGCTTTGAAATGTTACCACAAGAGTAACACAATGGATGTTTTCCTTACATCTGGAGTTGAATCATTCCTTGAGTGTTTTCCCATTCTCTTGGATGAAATTATACATTTCATAGCATTTTTAAACACTATACAGTGATGTCATTAAAATCATAACACCATTAATGTTAAAAGGGGAACTCAGTAATCATTTAACCCAACACGGTCATTTTGTTAAAGAGATATGACACCCAGAAAGGACATGCCTTATCTGAGGTCACAGTTAGTGGCTGAGAAGAGACCTGGGCTGCCCATCTCCTAGCCCTGTGGTCGGCAAACTGCGGCTCACGAGCCACATGCGGCTCTTTGGCCCCTTGAGTGTGGCTCTTCCACAAAATACCACATGCGGGCGCGCACGTACACTGCGATTGAAACTTCGTGGCCCCTGTGCAGAAGTTGGTATTTTATGGAAGAGTCACACTCAAGGGGCCAAAGAGCTGCATGTGGCTCGCGAGCCGCAGTTTGCCAAGCCACAGTTTGCTGACCACTGTCCTAGCCCAACCTAGTGCCCTCACTACTGGAAAGTCAGTTCACAGGGCACAAGGTAAATGCAACAATTCATATAAAAAGTGATTTTTCATTGTAAAGATTTGAAAATACAGAAAATTATCATCATAACGTCTTCCAAAGGGAAGCATTCTTTTCCTGTTTATTTTTTCTGCCAGACTTGTAGTTATACTGTAACTAGAGGCCCAGTGCACAAAATTTGTGCACGGGGGTGGAGGCGGCATTCCTCAGCCCGGCCTGCACCCTCTCCAATCTGGGACGCCTTGGGGGATGTCCGACTACCGGCAGTCAGACCTCCTTCTCACAATCCCCTCTCACAATCTGGGACTGCTGGCTCCTAAGCTCTCGCCTGCCTACCTGATTGCCCCTAACCACTTCTGCCTGCCAGGCTGATTGCCACCTAACTGCTCCCCTGCCAGCCTGACAGACTCCTAACTACTCCCCTGCCAGCCTGATAGACTCCTAACTACTCCCCTGCTGGTCCAATCGCCCCCAACTGCCTTCCCCTGCCAGCCTGATCATCCCCAACTGCCCTACCCTGCTGGCCCGGTTGCCCCCAACTGCCCTCCCCTCTGGCCTAATGGCCCACTACTGCCCTCCCCTGCATCGCAGTGGCCATCTTGTGACATCGCACGATGCCACCTAGGCTTTTATTATATAGGATGTTTTGGTATCAACCTAGCACTAAAGCACCACTTTTGCGGAATCTCCCCATTTATGATAGCTGCATAATAATGCAGTCTCAAGTGTGGTTTTTTTCTCAGTAACACTACACAAATCCCCTTTTGTGTTTGGGGAAACCTTTTCTAAGGACATAATCCTAATGTGCAATTAGTATTATTTAGACCAAGTGCTATTCAGTGGTCACTTCATGATGACGCTTTAGAATTTACAGGACCTGAGAACGAGAGGGACAAAACCGCACTCTTACGAAGCTGGTGGTTAGCCACATGAGTTGTAAAGATGTGAAAGTCCTTCTTAAGCTCAGCCACTCAATTAGCAATCATTTGTGAGAAAGATTTGAGAGGCACATATGACAGCAGACTTACCCTCAGAATCGCAGCTTGCTACTACCATTGAATACCAAATCCTCACTTTGTTGAAAAGACACATGTAGCCTAATAAATGACATTTTAATTGAGGCAAGTGCTTGAGAAAAACAAAAACTCCCATCCGCAAGTCCATTTTGACTATATGAAACATATTGTTATTTCAACCTCGTTTTGCACAATCCCTGGACTATTTCCTTTAACAAAAAAGTCAGCTGTCACTTCAGGGATGTCACTAAAGCGAAACCTAAGTAGGAAAGTAAAGCTCCTGAAAAAGAATACCATGCAAATGAGTGAAAAGCCTATTTTGGTGCTTGCACACTACACTTGCTCCAGTATTTTGTGAGAATACAAAACCTGTGGTCCCTCGGGAAGCACCTCTCCCTTCCCCTTCCCACTGAGGTGCATTGCCTTTGTCTTTCTCTCTAAGCTCCAAGAGCCCTTCTGCCTCCATAATTTGTTTCCTGAGCCTACAGAGCCCAACTGGCTCACTTCTACTACCTCCACAATGTCCTAAAATGTTCTCTTATAATTAAAAAAAAAAAATACTACATTCCACTAAACCACCCGTGCAGTTGATAACACAAGTATTGTGGATGTACCCTCTCTCCTGGGATACACATGCAGTTCACATTTTCCATCCATTTGCTGTTACCTCCGGCTATAGGAGCCTTCATCTATAGTGGACCCTTAGCTCCTGAGGAATAGGAACATGATGTAATACAAACATAGATCATTCATGTTGGATGTCATGTGACACTAGCCATTAACCTACAGAGGATGCTCCATCACCTCACTACCTCAATTAAGGTATAAATGTTTCATGAAGAGGTGAAGGACTACTTTGCTATTGTCACTTCTATTTTGGGGGTCTGTCACTCTCCTATTGGCAACTGAAGGAAACTTATACACACTTCCCAGAGCTGATCCACTGATGCTATGGCTGGCTATCCAGAGTCATGCCATCTCTCCAAAAGGCTGGAAATCTTTATGCTTGCCTTTCCAGCCACAGTTACAGCTAGTAGTCATGCTACCCAGACTACTGGAAAGAAAAACTACTGGAGGCTTCTGGGAAAGCTTTTGCTTTCTGGATAAAAGACACAGATGACTGGTGTCATGCCTTCCCCTACTTCCTGACTGGAGTACACATGTAATGTCCAGGCTGGTCAGTCACCTCAACACTGTGAGTTAAAAATGAGGAGGAACTGAGTCAGAAGCCCTGAATTCTTGGCTGATAATTAAATACTAACAATTACCTATATCCAGCTTTTTTATGAGAAAAATAACTCTCTATTTGTTTAAACCATTTAATAGTCATATTTTCTAATGCACACTATCCATGGTATTCATAACTGCTTTCTTATAGCACAGATCAAGTGCTTCTTTATAATCTCTTCCAGCTTTTTTAAACTCCAAATAAAATTGTCACCATAACTCCTAATCAAATTAACACAATTATTTAAACATATGTACAATAAATATTACAGTACATGTATCCATATGTTACTGTAATAAAGGCACAATAATTCATCAGCATCATGGCTATATAACGGCACATCAAGATTCAGAAGTATTGTATCTAATATTACATGAGATACTGGTGGGAGTTACCATCGGTGTTACTAATCTTTATTTTCCAGTTTATATGTATCCTTTTGGAAGAATTCAGAAAGTTAAATTACACACTTTAAGTTTAGATATATGAAACTATTTGTTAATATTTAAGATTAAAGCAACTTGTACAGATTATATCAATGATAAATTACATGAGTCTAGAAATTTTATTCTGATTTTTAAAATACACATTTTATTTATATTAACACATGCTTTTAGTATTATAAAGGCTCTAGTTTTACAGATTGGCTCATAAAAGAATTATAAAATATCTTAAAAATAAAATGTATATATAGTATAGCTTTTATTGAATTGCAAGAGATGAATTTTTATTTAATTATACATGTAAAAATCTTTGGAAACAACAAAATAATGAAGACATCATAAGTCCAATTTCCTGTGTTCTGGGATTAATTTAATGTTTCTTTCATACTCAGATCCCAACATTCCCTACCTCAAGAAGCTGAATAAGGCAAGGGATAAAAGTAAAAAAAATAAATAAAAGGCAAGGGAGATACATCAGATAGGTAATTAATTACACAATACAGGTTCTAATGGAAGTCTGGCCCATTCCCCAACCTTCCCTGGGCTCTGTTCATTTACCCATTGGGTTGGGATAGCTACAGCACCTACTGAATAAAAAAGACAGTGGATTTTAACAACGTATTTTAAGGATGCTAGTGTGTTCTTGAGTAAACAGGTAAAACTTTTATCTATAACAAAGGGAATTACTCAGACCTAAAAGCTTTTTTTACTGGGAGACGATTTCAGACATAGAAATCTACAATTTCAAATATACCCAATCTCAATGAACAGTGAAATGAAGAGATTTTTTAACATTTACAACCCCTGTAATACTGTAGATGTTTCTATTATACATAACTGCAGAACACTAAATTCTCATAATTATTTTTGCTGATTATGTCAAACATCAAGAATTAACCAATCAAGAGTTATCAATAAAACTAGATTTCATGCAAAAGTATCACTTAGGATAAATTACCTTTTCTAGTACGAAATTAATTTCCTTAAAGAAAATAAGTATCATGTACTAAAAACAGTGCTATGCCAAGTAGTATTCCTGTATACACGTTCCTAATACAAACTAGCTATAAGCAAGAGAAAATAATCAACCACATAATAACAAGGCAGATTATATGCTTTCATTAACTGTCCTATGAAAAGTTATCTTTAAAGGAAATTTGGGAGGGCTATCATTTTTATTTTATTGACAACTACTAAGTGATTTATTTCTAATATTTAGCAGTACCAATTTAGTAAACACTGAAAACTCTGGTAATCAGAAAAGATTTTGTATTTAAGAGTAATTCCATGAAATTCTCTACTTCATATTATAGAATAACAAATTAGTACATGCACTATAGAACTGTGCTATTCAGTACAGGCCACTGGCCTCATGTGGATAATGAGCACTTAAATGTGGCAAGTCCACATTAGTAAAATACACACCAGATTTCAAGGCATTCATATAAAAGAAGAATATAAAATAGCTTAATGATTTTTAATATTGATTGCACGTTGAAATGATAATATTTGGGATCTATTGCATTAAATGAACTATATTATTAAAATTAACCCCAGCTGTTTTTTAATATCGCTGCTAGAAAATTTAAAATGACATATGGCTTCACATTATTTTTCTATTCTACAGCAATGCTATAGAAACAGCAGACTCTTTAATCCCAACCCACATCCTTAAATTCTTATCATTATGGTACTTGAGATAACGTATTTCAATATATTAACACAAGGTTCCTGAGCTTAGATTCAAATACAACTCTACTCTTAAAAACAAAACAAAATCCTATTCTATAATCTTTTTCATCATCTTCTGTATACTGGCAACTGTGCTAAACTTTGGTTAGTTATGAGTCTACAAACAGGCGAAGGGGTCTTTTTGGGAGATGAAAATGTTCTAAAATGATTGTGATGATGGCTGCACAACTATAAATGTACTAAACAATCACTGGACTGTATGCCTACAACCGGCAAATTGTATAGCATGTAAATTCAATAAAGCTGTTTGTTTTTAAGTATACAGCTAGAGCCCAGTAGATCTGAAGTGCCATTTAGAAACTGCATATAAATTTTAAGTAATTCGAATATAAATTTTCAATCCCTATGACTCAATATTGCAATGAGAATTTTTCTATGAGTATCCTGTTACCTGCAGTTGGTCCACAGTAAGCAGTGGATTATGTAATCACTCACCAGAGGTATAAGTGGAATAGGACAAAGGGAACATTAGAGTAACAGAGAATGGACAGTTCATTTGTGTTTAGGGGTTCCCAGATCAGGCAATCACAGCCCTTACATACAATATTGTTGCAAATCCTTTACCCAGTCTGGGCACCTTATAACTGAATAACTGTTGCTATTTCTCCATCTTAGACAGAATACTTAAATATAAGAAACTTCCTACTCTACACTAATAAAACCAAATAAAAAAATACATTAAGTCAAAACTAACATTTAATAAATTTCCGTGGGAAACTAAAAATTAAACTACTGATGTTTTTTTCCCTATTACAAGAAGAAAAAAAAAAGTGGGAGAAAAATCCAGCAACTCAAAAGTTCCAATTTAGAAAAAAATATTGATTAATAAATTTCAAGTTAAGAAAATAGGATCATTTACACATCGTTTCTGTCAGTTCTTGAAACAAATTATTTTCAATCTAAAACTTGTGAGATATTCACCATGGATAATGTAGTACTACAACCTTTTATTTATTTATTTTTTTAACATCATTGCTAATAGCAAAAAAATAAAGACAAAAACCAGCTCAACTTTTTTCACTTTATCAAAATGGGTCTGAGGATCTAGACTTTCTTTACACTCAGGTAAACACAGTAAAGTAAAACACAGATCAAACCTTCATGCACCTGAACCACCATATGCTCTTGTGCTTTTTGTAGTCTAAATGGCATGAATTTCCAGAGTTCACTTTACCCCATATTAACCACACACACAAAAAGGAAATAAAATGGTAATAATGCAGAAAGAACTCACACTGAACACTGAAATGGATTTCAAGATGTGAGCATGTACACAAACAGATACATGCAAAAATTTGCCTATATTAACCACACACACAAAAAGGATTGCCTGGACACATTAAGATGCCTCAAGTTCTTATTTTAGAAGTAAACTAGGTGGACAGTTCAAAAGCCAGAGTCATTTGGGATATTAAAATCATGTAGAATGTTCCTTTAAGGCAGCCATAGAATCAAGGGACCAATTATTATTGTTCATTCTAGTTACAAAATGACTCTCTGAATGCATTTGTTATAGTTCCAGACAAAAGTTTCATCACAATTATGAATGTTTATAAAGTAGCAATATTTTATGAGTTGAGTGATACTTTTAAAACTGGAACATGTACAGAACATTCATTGAATTTGACCTTCTAGAGAGATGATTCCCTGTTGCTAAATACCGGATACCACCAGCCACTTCACAAAACTCAGACTACTGTTCAATCAATGGTGCATCCCCATCACATAGATGGCAGTTTTTGTACTGTTTCTTTCATGCATAAATGTTTTAAGACTCCCAAAATAAATGCACATAAAAGACAATCATATTTTTAAAGATATTCACAAAATAATGCTATCTAGGTGTCAAAATTGAAATGCTTTTGATTTGATTCTATAGTTACTATAATATCTACCCATTTATTTCTGATCTTTTCAATACTTAAAGCAGTGCAAGTCAGTTGATAATGAAGTTCATATTTATAAAATATAAAGAGCATTTTCTTTAGTCTAAGATATTGGCAAACTCATAGAGCATACCAAAACTAAAGCACTAATATTTAACTTTAAAAAAAATTAGAACTTTTACAAAATGTTCATAAAGCTCTAAAATAGATATTTTAACCTAACGGCATGAAGCTTGTGCTCTCTCTAAATTCAAAGCAGCCAAAAAATTCATACTGAGGCACTATTCATTTTCTTAAGAGTTTGAGTCAAAGAACTGTTATTTACTTCAAGGTGGATTTCTGTCATGCTCTCCATTCGTAGACACACAGACTGCCATACCAAACAAGGTGCAAATAACTATTTAAGAAAACTACAATGCCCTCTCTTAGACAGCTATTTACTTTAGGAATAAAATAACATAAAAATATCTCAAATTTTTCTATAAGCTATACAGATGAGAGAAAAGGGTGATGATTTTTACAGGCCATGGAGCTGAAAGAAGGAGTTGATTCAGAGGGTCATAGTACTACAAGTTTAAACGTCTTATGCCTTTCATAAGGCTTTTTGTAAATCACCATAGAAGTTGATTAAAGTGCTTGCCATGGCTGTATCTACTGCAGACTGAGGAATCATCCCACGCAGATCCGTCTGAATATAGCCTGTCAAAAGACTCTGGTTTGTATTGTCTTTAAGTGGAACACAAAACCAACCGCAGGGATGGTTATATCCACGAACAAATTCTGCTCTCTTCTCACTCCAGTCAAGGCTGATCCCTACAAGGCAATTTTAAAATAACAGTATTAATAGGAGTGACTGACATAAGTCTAAAACTCTGGATATTTAAAATATTAGATTTCTTGTTTCAGTATTTGTCTTGTTATCCCTGTAGATGAAAATTCAGCCCCAAGAGGGACCATGGAAGAATGAAAAAGAATAATTACCAAGTAGATTTCTGACAGGGAGCTAAGACAGGTAATGCAGAAAACTCTAATCCCTTCAGAATGGATGGTATCATGTCATCTTGGGAACTCCTTGGAAACTAAGAATCTTGGATGTAGCATCCAGGTCTCAAGGTGCCAATAACAAACTTATGGACCCAGCCAGTATGGCTCAGTGGTAGAGCGTCGACCTATCAACCAGAAGGTCACGGTTCGATTCCCAGTCAAGGCACATGGCTGGGGTTGCAGACTTGATCTCCAGTAGGGGGTATGCAGGAAGCAGCCTACCAATGATCCTCTCTCATAATTGATGTTTCTATCTCTCTTCCTCTCCCTTCCTCTCTAAAATCAATAAAAATATATTTTAAAAAAAACCTATGGTACCACCACTCTCCACAGGCACTCCGTATCCAACTTTGGTAGTAGCTAGTCAAAAATAAACAAATAGATGTTTAACTACAACTGGCAACTCAAGTATATACAGAAAACATATTAACTTACCTATAAATATATGTTAGGAAGCAGGAACCTTCTAATAGCACTATTTTTAGTTTCAAAAGTAAAACTGTACACAACTCAGAAAAGGAGAACACCCTAACACATACCAAGTCTATTTGTGTGTGTGTGTGTGTGTGTGTGACTAAGAAGGCATTTTTCATTTACTGGATCTCTTTCTTAGAGGCAGTCATGTTATCCATGTTTGTTAGCTGTGATCTGGAGCAGCGGCCGCCAACCTTTTGGAACTCACAGACCACCAGTGGTCTGTGGACCACCGGTTGGCGACCACTGATCTGGAGGATAGCATGTAACTGGAAACAAAAACTTGAATTTCAGAACCCTTCTTGATATTGTTATTTTAATCTCTAGGGTTCAGTATTTACAAAGCTTAGGTTTATAAAATAATTATGAAAACATATCTTGCATAGAAAAAAAATCCAGCCTAGAAAACTCAAATATTTAAAACAAATTGAAAGACAGTATACGGTTTTGAGATCATTACCACAAGATAAAAGCCCTCCATTATAGTCCACAGTGTAGGAGAAATCAACAAATTCTCTTGGGGAAATGATATTCCAAAGCTGACCAGCAGTAGTGTAACGCATCACACAGCAATTCTGAAGGACAAAAGGTAACAGGTGTTACTTCCTACTCTAAGGACACATACATAGAATCATATATCATAAGTTCATCCTTAGTAAAAAATTAATACTCATCTAAAATGTCTTATAATTAGTAGTAATAATTCTTACAGTGATTCTGACAGGTTTAGATTTCTATTCTAAATCTCACTGCTGCTATATACACATGAAGAAGATATATAATAAAAATATAGATATTTCCTCATATCCAAATCTCTAATTCAATAGTCACTTTGTATCCTGTATGATATTCAACATGAAAGTAGGTGGTGTAACCCTTAGGTGTTTAAGATAAAACACACAAATACATTCACCAAAACACCACATGATTCAATAAAGACGTTCAGCCCAACTAGCATGGCTCAGTGGTTGAGCATCAATCAACCTATGAACCAGGAGGTCATGGTTCAATTCCTGGTCAAGGCACATGCCCTGGTTGCAGGCTCGATCCCCAGTACGGGGCATGCAGGAGGTAACTGATCAGTGATTCTTTCTCATCATTGATGTTCCTATTTCTTTCTCCCTCTCTCTTCCTTTCTGAAATCAATAAAAATATATTGAAAAATAAATTCAAACATGGTAAGAACTAAATTAATAAAAATAGAAAAAGACAGGAAGCCACTTTGTTTAGAGTGACATCTTTGGTCTTTGATTTTGGCTTCAACAGAAAACTTACATACAATTTACCTGGAAACTTGAATATAATAGTGGTGTTTTCAGAATCTTAGATTTCAGAAAATAAACTCAGTTCTTCTGAACTTCTGAAATCTTAGATAAGTAAACTTCTGAAATCTTAGATTTCAGAAAATAAGACTCATTAGGTAATATGAGAAAACTCAAGCTTTTTAAAAGGCAGCAAGGATTCCCCTGTGAGACCTCTGCCATGACTACTTATTCTCAAACCAATGAATGCAAGTGTGTACACATGCTCACACCCACATGGGTACTCCCCCCCCCCACACACACACATGCTCTCTCTCTCTCTCTCTCTCTCTCTCTCTCTCTCTCTCTCTCTCTCACACACACACACACACACACACACACACAATCTGAAGTAATGTTTCTAAACAAATACCTCTTCAAAGTTCTCCAAAATGTCCAATGAAGTCATTAAGCTATCCCAATCCAAGCGACAGGGACCTGGGCGTATATGGTCCATGATATCATTAACAACACCATCTATAATACCTTGGGCTTTGAAACTGGAAAGAAAAAAAAAAGGCAAATACTACTGGAATGAAAATTTCAGCATGCCCTCCTACGTAGTTTGGAACTAACTAGAGCAAACGTCAATGAAGATTAATTGATTGGTTGATTTTTTATTGTTAATCCTCACCCGAGGATATTTTTCCATTGATCTTTTGGAGAAAGAAAGAGAGAGGGAAAGACAGAGAGAAACATCGATGTGATAGAAATACATCGATTGGTTGCCTCCTGGATGCTCCCTGACCAGGGCCTGGGCCAGGGAAGAGCCTGCCACCAAGATATGTGCCCTTGACTGGAACTGAACCCGAGACCCTCTGGTCCGCAGGCCAATGCTCTATCCACTGAGCAAACCAGCTAGGGCAATGAATATTTATTAAAGGGAGTAAATCCCAACAACTTTTCTGATAAATTAAGTTCTATCAATTATTTTATCAGAATGTACTCTGTCCTCAAATCTAATAAGAAGTCTGAAGGCTATATTATATGTTATCACAAACACAGTATTGGTAAAGTACCGTCATGTTATGCCATTGCCAAAAAGTCTGCAGAACACTGTAATGTTCCCATTTATTTTGCATACTATTCTTTTCTCAGTTATACTCTGACATGTTATTAGTATAAACATATTTTTATAGACTGGAAGAATATATATGCAACACATATAAACAGAGGTGTAATTATTATACAGGATATATAATTAGCTCCTATAAGTCAATAAAAAAAAGACAGACAGTCCAAAGAAAAGATGGGCAAAGGACATGATAAAATTGACCTGAAATGTCAATAAATTTAGAAAAGATGTTCAACTTCACTCATAATAAACTAAATACTAGTAAGATACCATCTCATGTGCCTCAGATTGGCAGAAATTATAAACTTAGTAACAAGTATTAAGAATTGAGTGGAAGGGAATGAGAACTCTCAAACTGCTATCACCTCTTTAGAGAGTAATTTGACAATGGTCAGTGAAGTTGAATGAAGCACATCCCTAGACCCAGGTACATACCCCAAGAAAATCACACGTGTAGGAGACATACTAAGAAGTTTACTGTAGCACTGTACTTTACAGGGAAGAATTGACAACAACCTACCCATATATAAAAGCTTAAGTGAACGGACGACCAGATGACCGGCTGGTAGCTATGTCACACACTAACCACAAGGGGCAGACGCTCAACGCAGGAGCTGCCCCCAGGTGGTCAGTGCGCTCCCAGTGGGAACGCTGCTCAGCTGATCAACAACGGGCGCCAGACACAGGGCTCATGGCTGGCAAGTGCAGCTGTGGAGGAGCGAGTCTCTCCCGCAGATACTCCCCCTGCATGCTCCTTCCCCATCCAGACTGGGACCAGAATTGAGACTGACCAGACGTGAGCCCGAGCCACTTCTCCGGAACCACACAAGGAGTGAGGATGTGATGATGAGTGGCAGCTGCGTGGTCAGGGATGCGCCGGTATCGCCCTAGGGCAGGCATGTGGAGACCACAGCAGAGCGGCCTACCTAGCCGCAGCGGCAGCAGCAGGTGCAGCAGGGCTGGGATGAACGGGAACTGCACAGGCTCCTCCCCAGCCGCCTGCCACTTTGCACACTACTTCATACTGTGCGAGATTGACAGTGGTTGAGGCAGTAAGCAATGACAAAGGACGGGCTGGAGCCCGATGAGCTGGCGGGTAAGGCTGGGCTGCGACAGCATGGAGGTCCACTGATCCCCTCAGGCTAGGCCGAGGGACCCTACTGATGCACAAATCCATGCACCTGGCCTCTAGTTTATATATATAAAAGCCTATAGTGACCGAATAACTGGTCAACCAGTCTCTATGATGCACACTGACCACCAGGGGGCAGACGCTCAACGCAAGAACTGCCCGTTGGTGGTCAGGGCGCTCCCACAGCAGGAGTGCAACTCAGCCATAAGCCAGGCTCATGACTGGCTAGCGCAGCTGCAGCAGCATGAGCCTCTCCTGCCCCATTGGCAGCAGGCGCAGCAGGACCAGGATGAGCAGGAGTGCTCCTCCCTGGCTGCCTGCTGCTTCATGCACTGCTATATCCCTCAGGGGATGTTGGACTGCCAGTTTCAGCCCAATCCCCGGCCTGGCCTGCAGGGATCAGGCCGAAACCAGCAGTCCGACATCCCCCGAGGGGTCCTGGATTGTGAGAGGGCGCAGGCCAGGCTGAGAGACCCCACCAGTGCACAAATCCGTGAACCAGGCCTCTAGTAAAGTTATAAGTAGGAAATCTGCAAACAGATAAACACATTGTGGTATATATACACTGAGTGGCCAGATTATTATGACCACCTGACGTTTGTAGGCAAATTAGCTATAATTTTGCACTGAAGTTGCTAGAGGGCCAGACCATTATAAATAGGGAA